GATACAATGTCCTTCAAACATTAGATGAGTGGGACTAGGGCTAATGTTGCCTCCTCCTAGCATATATCGTGCCTTTCTATATATTCTTCGTACAGTAAAACAAGTAGGAAAACAGACGTTTTTGGGTGCATGGATTCGTTAAAATTTTATCATTGGTCTTATTTATTCATAAAAATAGCTAAAATTACTTGGATTTCTCTAATATAATCTTTCATTAAATACACCAATCTCTTCACTTTCATTGAAAATTATTAATCATTAGACAAGAACAGCCATCCTCAAATTTTCTATTCTTGAAATGACTCTTGAGTTTGAATTTCATTTTGAGACAAAGCAATGTAAACTTGTGAGGACAATCTTATTAGGAAAGAACAGTCGTCCTCAAAATTTGATATTCTTGAAAATGATTGTTGAGTTTGAATTTCATTTTTAGAGAAATTTATAGAAAAAAAATTCAAACTGGTGAATCATTTTGGATAGATGAAGTAGTTATAAATAGAATTGAAAATTATTTATTTCTGTGAAACCTGTTTTTGAAGAAAAATACTCATTCTACTACATTACTCTTCCTGTATTAAAAGAGTACAATAAAAGGGACAAATATGTTTAAGAGTAAACTGCTCAATAAATCCTTTACATTTGATAAAAAAATTTATTTTGGTCATTTACATGAACAATTTACTGGTTTGGTCCTTTACATATGTATTTTACACTAATTTAGTCATTTTTACTTCTTTTGGCCCTTTACTTTTGGGAGTTCTCAGGTTAACCATTTCTTACCCAAGTCAACAAGTGTATTTTTGGTAACTTATCATGTAAAAGGCCAAAAGGATTTCTACTTGAGTAATATTTTAATTTTAAAAAGAGAGTAATATTTTCTTTTCTTTTTTCATATTATTCGGAGCAGGTTAACTTGCGAAAGGATTTCTTCTTGAGTTTTTGGTCTACTAGTCCCTTTGTTAATTTTGTAAAACAAACTCGGGAAAGGGACAAAACCCCCTCGAAGTGTTATGTCCAAAGGACAAATTGCCCTCGACATTTCTTATAAGGATAATAACCCCCTACCGCTAAGTCAAATGACAATTTGCCCCATGCATTAGTAAATCTTAGTGTGAAAAGATAGAAATGCCCTTAAATCTAAAAATAAATTTATTACACTAAACTTACCCTCCTACCAACTCGTTTATTTTTTTAAAATTATACATATTCAATTATCCGCCATTTTAAATCCGTCGCTGACTCCGTTTTGACGCATTATTTCTCCATATTACTGCCGCTACAATGAAATAACCCGAGATTGAGAATTTAATCTACAAAAACGATAAATTTTATTTAAATAGAATTTAAGTTTTGATATATTAAATTCTCAATCAGGCGGTAGTGATAAGGAGAAATAATGTATCAAAACAGAATCGGCGGCGGATTTAATCGGAGCCAAACTATTTAAGGATTTAAAAAAAACAGACAAACGAATTGATTAGAGGGTAGGTTTGGTCTTGAAAAAGATTATTTATGAATTTAAGGGTATTTTTATCTTTTTGCACTAAGATTTGCTGATATAGGGGACAAATTATCCTTTAACTTGGCGAAAGGGGAGTTATTGTCCTTATATTAAATGTCGCGAGGCAATTTATATTTTGTACATAATTAAGGGGAGTTTTGTCCTTTTCCCAACAAACCCCGGTAGTTGAAAAAGGGTTTCTTGAAAATTATTCAAAGAATAGGAATTTACACACGTCAATTTTTTTTTTTTTTTGAAAATTATTGAATCATGGGTTTATTGAAACTTTTTTTTTGCTTATTTCCAAGACTTTTTAAGTACTCTCACAATTTAAGGCTCTGATTCATAATCACTTAATATAATGACTTAATTTATTTAAGTACTTAATAAAATTAAGTGTGTTTGATAATTGCTACTAAAAAGTCTTAATGAATTAAGTTTTGAACCAATTAAGTACTTATAAATTAAGTGCGTTTGATAACTAAAATTTCACTGTCTGAATTAATTAAGTGCGTCTGAATGACCAAATCAATTGTGAGCCAGAAAATAAGTGATACACCTACCACTTATCACTTATCACTTAATTTCTGTGATGACTCTTTTTTTTCTTTTTTCTTTTTTTTTTCCTTTTTTCCCTCATCTTTATTTTGTCGCTTATTTTTACATTATTTTAAAATTTTTATTTTCTTAAGATAAATTAATTAAGAGTGCTTAAAGTTGAATTTATATTATGAGTATAAAAGATCTCAAACTTTCAAACTCAAATTAAACTAATTTTAATACATGAAATTTGCTAAATAACAAGGTATACACATATACGTGATAATCTAAATTTAATTATATATTGATTATTTATCAAGTGTAACATTTACTTTTATTTTATATGCTAAAAACTTATTTTAAAATTATTATTTTATTATTTAAAACAAAATATTAGTTATTTTTCTATTTAAAAGAATTTTGTTTATAATTCAATTTTAATGATATTAAAATTTTAAATAACTTTCAGACATGAGTATTTAGATTCAGTCTTTAGACTTCAGTCTTCAGACATCATATTCAGACGTTTTTATCAAACAATGTAAATTTACTCTTCAGACTTCAGACTTTAGTGTTAAGTGTTCAAATTCAGACTTTAGTGATTATCAAATGAAGCCTAAGATAAGAAAAAAACACTTCTTTTAAGTACTCTCACAATTTAAGAGAATAAATATCTCTTTGAGTTTCTATGGTTAACCCTAAAATTTAAATTTCAAGGTAAAATAAATACTCCATCCGGTCCTTAATATAAGACATTTTGATTTGATTTATATTTCACCACGTACAAATTTTTAATTGGCAAAAAAAACTTAAAAATATTTCATAACAATCAAGAGAATACAACGAATGTGAAGATTTATTTTTAAGGTTTTTTCGTCAATTAAAAATGCGTACTAGGTTAAAGCTAATACAAGATCAAAATATCTTATATTAAAGACTAGAGAGAGTATTATATATCTGAATTGATGTTTTAAATTTTATTATCTTAATTTTAATTTACATAATTTTCATATATAACTGCTTGATCATCAACAGTTGCCGTTGAACAAACCACCAACCACCGCAAAACTACTGGCGGCCGGCCGGTTAAATTCCGACAAACTTCTAATGGTTGGTGATAAGTGGTTCAGTTCAGCAATAGTAAATTTAATTAGTATTTTATTCAAAAAATTATTTATTCCACATGTCAAATTCCCATTTAAAACAAGTTTCAAACAAAATTTCAAATTTATATATATAACTAAATAAACTTTATGCAATTCTTGAACAAGCCTTCTAATTCTATTAGAAAAACGAACCAGCACTAGTTATGGTTAAAAAGAAAAACTTATAAAAAAATGTAACCAAATTAATACATACCTCTAAATCCCATAACAAATTCTCTAATTATTTTCTAACTTTTTCTACAGTGGATTAGTGGATTATCTTCGTGGATAATGATTGTTCTATTATTTTCTTATTTAATTACTCTCAATTATTATTATTATTATTTTTTCTTTAGGGAAATCCATGGCGGTACTTGGCGGGAGAATTACAATTTTATTAATATAAAAGTAGTAGTTAGACAAGACTGTGCTTAAAATTTACCCATATGGAAAGAACCGTCTTATCATGGTATAAAAAAAATGTAATTTTTCATGTATAATGTTATGACATTTTCATTATTTAGAAAATTGTAATTTATACACTTGTGATATGTAATATTGTTTATATTTTATGAATTATTCATAAAAAATGTTATAATTTATCGGGATTCGCGTAATCTGTACATATATTTTAGTCTAAGTATATTTTAAGGGGGTGGATTTTTTCAGTTACCCAAATTAGTACTTGAAGCCACCAATTTTGAAGAATTCCCCTTTTGCCCATGCCACTCGAACCGAATCGGGCAAGTCATTCGGTCCGATTCACGTGAGAACGAATAAATTATTAATTTTTTATTTTAATGTTAATTTATTCGCAGTATCGTTGCATGTTGAATACCTCGTACTTTAAATATTATTAACAATATTTATACTTTAGTGCTTAAACTCTCGATTTTATATTTACTTGAAAATAAACAAGTAATTAATTTTTACTTGAGAACAAATTTAATTTAATTTGTTAAGTTAATTTATTTGAATTGATATTAAAATATAAATTTTGCTTTAATAATTATTTTAAAGATAATTTTTAGTTAAAATAATAATTATACATTTATAATGAAAGATAATAATTGTACTACAAAGATTGTGACGAATATGTGCAAATAGATTAACTATTTTTTGTACTACAAAGATTGGTGATACTTAATGTAACTCAAGTAATAAATTATTAATAAATTTAATGACCTAAAAACTAGATTAACTAATTATAACAAAAAATCTAAAAATTTAAAAAATAGCAATGAATCCGACTGATATTTTTTAATTTTTAGACTTTTTAAAATAACAAATATTTCTCTTTTTTAATTACAAAAAGAAAACAAAAAATTTTAAAATTAAAAAAAAAGGGCCTGACCGGTCCAGTTCACCATATCGAACTGAACCGAGACCGACCGAGCAATGAACCCGGGACGAGCAAAGAACTCCCTTTCTTGTTCGCTCGAACGGGTTTATTGGCCGTCTCGGGCCCGGGACGGGAACAAGAGGACGAGTTTACCCGTCCCGGGTTAACGCAGGAAAGGTGGACCGCCCGGTCTGTCAATTTTTTTTTTTTTAAATTTTCAATTTTTTTTAATTTTTTCTCTAGTCTATTTTAAAATTTTCAATTCTTTCTCAATTTTTTTATCCTAAATAAGGGTAAAACCGTCTAATTTTAAAATATGTGGTTTCAAGTCATAAAGGTGGTGGATTTCAAAATAAACACCCCATTTTAAGACTCTGGATCCTCGTAATCTGTACATATGCCACGTGTACCCCAAAATTACATAGTAACAAAAGAATTGAGTATAGATTTTTCTCCAAAATTTGACCGTACACACATACATATATATATTTGATGAGCATGATTTCTTACACTTGGAACCTCAAGCAGTTTCTTTCAACTGCTGAGTTGTGAATGCTCTCATTCCAATTTAAGCTCTGTCAAAATCAATCCGTTACCCAATTCTCTTCTACACACCGGCAATCCCTAGGTCCTTCCCTTGGACCCAAATTTTTCCCTTGCAAAAAATTAACAGGAGAAGAAGAAAAAAGAACTCTGTTGATTTTTTCCCCTGTTGCCGAGCCGAGGAACTAGGAAGCCATGGAGGGCCATCGAGTGTCAACATCAGCGGCCCACAAGGTGAAAAAAACAAAAAAAAAAGAAAAAAAATCGAGCCAATTTGTGAATTACTTTCCGTTTTTATGTTCATGCTTGTGAAAAAGAGTTTAAAGTTGAAATTTTGAGGTTCAGTGTTCGGACTACGGCTTTACCGATTTCAGTTGGTGCTAAAAGTGATAATTCTTATAGCTTTTATTGGGGAAGGGTTGGATTTTGCTCTTTCTTACTATTCCCTGTTGGATTATCAAATTCAAAGTTCGATTCTTGGGTCACTGAGAGAAGACTGTGTCTTCATCTTGGAATGATCTATTTGTGCTAACAATTTTTTATTTTTTGTTGTCTCTTTGAATGTGTTATGGAGATGACAAGTAAGGTTTAAGTTTAGTTTGACTGGAACATAGGTAGTTCAAGTTGTTACTAATTAAATTAGAGTTTGTTTCCTTTCACAAAATTTCACCTGGTATTTGTACTTGGGTTTGCTTTCTTGTGCTGTCTTGGCTGTTGTTATGTCTGTGTTGCTGTAACTGGTTAATGCAAGATTGTGATTGGGACATATATATTGTATGTTGATACATTGTTATATTATGAAAGAAAGTGGCTTAACTCTGTTATCATAGAGATTGTTTCGTGTTTCAAACCCTCTTTCATTGGTAAAAAATGACATTGATGGAGTTTTTTGAACCAGCTATTTTTGTTGTTTTTTTTTTTTTTTTTACTTTTTCCTTTCTTCGTTTTTTTCGTGGCATGCAAGTAATTTTCTTTTTGGTCTTGGCATTAATTACAGTGATGCTAAACTTTCATGAACCGGCATATTAGATAAGATCATGAATAGGGCTTATGGAATATTTACTATTCCGTTTTTGTAGGCCGCGCTTTGTGATATCTGTGGTGATGTAGGTGTCATTGAGGCGATTGTCACTTGCGCAAGATGCAAGGTTAATTGTGAACACCTGTAAGATCTCTGTTTCCATATATCAAGATATCTACTTACTCAATTAGCCTGTACTTGCTTGTGGGGTCTTAATGTTTGCAAATTACAGCCTAGTTCTCATTTTTCTTTCTCCTGATGTTCATCTGGTTGTGCATTGCATACATGTCTTCATTTTGTTAGCAATGGCTGCTTTCGTAAATAAGTTTCTGTGTGACTTAGGTTGGAGTACAACACCATCCTTTAGGAGAGTGGGATAAATTGTTGTAGTTGGCTATTGATGTTGTTTCTATGTAGCCATTAAACACTTATTTGCGAGGATTGATATCATTATCACGATTTAGCTCCTACTGTGCTTCTTTTCTTGCCTTGTGTGTGTGTGTTGGGTGGTGGTTGGGGGATGGTGGTGGTTGTGTGTTTCTTTTCCTGGAAATTATATTCCAGTGACAAATAAATGGTCCTGTCTCTGGCAATGTCAGATTTACCTTCAGTATATTTATCCACTCACTTCTTGTTCTTGCTAATACAAGTACTAATATAGATCATCTTATTTGAAAATCTGTTTGCTTCTCAATTTGGCTAGTTACTGCATGCGCATCGTCGCTTATGAATACCCAGAAATTTGGTATTGTGATGATTGCAAGTCCATAAATCAAGAAGTGGTCCAGAATTCTGTTACAAAGGAAGAAGTTGCCAAGGAGTCAGCTTCAAATACAAGTAAAATGCTGGACCAAGATTCTACTGATAAGCTCCCAAACGATTCAGTGCAGATCTGCATGGACGGGAAAAAGCAGACTATTTCTGGTAAAAGTGAAACCTCTTTCTCTAGAACTTGCAGGCAAATGCCCATATCTTCAAGTACTGCTATTTTCTCTATTTGAGCCCTTCAATTTTATGGTGGTAACTAGTAAATTTATTCCCTAATCTTTTAGGTTCTTTTCTTTACTCTTTAACTCTAGTCATTAATCCAAGTTCTCAGATTGCATGCATCTGTATCCTGTATTCTTCGTATTGTTGTTTGGTTTGCTATCAATCTCTTTCCATGTTCTGAGATTTGAGCTACATCTACTATATGGATGCATAATATGGATTCAATAAAGAATCCTTTGATCTCCTGCAGATCAAGATTATACTGTCATTTCCTATAATACTCTCTAGTTTTCTATGTACATACACATATTGGTACAGTAAATAACATTTGTTTGCTTCCTGTTTTTAAGTGAACATTAGCCAAAAATGATTTCCTGTTTTTGAAGATGATTCATTTTCAAAAAAAAAAATAAAAATGATTCGAGTCCTGAGATTTGGAAACCTTTCATATTTCCGTTTTCAACTATTCTTCCCTGCAATCTACAGAGGTAAATATGATTGAGGATGTTTCAGTCACAGGAGGAGATGCTAGTAAAAAGATATGTGTGCATTCTTCTGATGCAGTACCTTGGAGTGCAGACACTTTTAAGAGTTGCGAAACTATTCCTTCAAAGCTTCAGTCCCCAGTTTCAGTACATTCGACCAAAGATGCTGACAATTTCCATGACACTGCCGGTTCCATGAAGACGAAAGAAAGAGGAAATATGCATGAGGATCATATGGATATGGCTATTGAAGAGTTAGAATGTCGACGTTCTTGTTTAAACAAGGTACTGAGTTACTTGCAAGCCGTTTGCTTTGTGCATTGTTTACAATTTTTAATCGCAATAATTGCCACTTTTTTTTGGGTTTGGTTTTAGTTCATGCGTGAAACAGGTGAAGCTAAGAGAAAATGCTGCGAGCTCCTGGATGAGAATCATAAGCTTAAAGCGAAGGTAAAGCATATGGATCAACGAATGGCTGAACTAGAAGCAGAAATTGTTCGTCTGAAGAGTGAGCTCTATGGCCATGAAATTGATTGGTTGGGAGTACTCCAAACTGATCCCGAAGCTGATGAGGCTGCAATCAAGAAGCAAAGATTTGAGCTTGTTCGCTCACTTGTTCCTGACGAGACCAAGTTGGCAGATGTTGCTGATGCTTGTAAAATGATTAGTGAAGGTCAGAAGGATGGAGGTAGTGAAACTGAGGAAACATCTAAGGATATGGTTGTGCTCGAGTATGAGGTTAGTTCCGAGGAAATTGAAAGACTTGGCCCTGATTTTAGTGACTTTGACAAAGATAGAAAGAAGGAATGTTTTGCAGCTGGACAGTTGTGGGCTGTTTATGATTTTAGTGGCATGCCTAGGCTCCATGCAATAATAACCAGAGTCATCTCCGGTTCATATACACTGCTACTCACCTGGTTGGAACCAGACCCTTCTGATGAGGAACAAGAAAAGTGGGTTTCAGAAGGCTTGCCGGCATCCTGTGGCAAGTTTAAAGAAGGTCCACCCGATACCATCAACGAGCATGGGATTTTCTCCCATCTGGTCCTGGATAAGATCAGCAGGGGAGGAAGTTTTGAGATTTATCCAAAAAAAGGGGACACTTGGGCTCTTTTTAAGGGATGGGAAAATTGGCATTCTGATCCACAGGAGGACGAGGATTTTGAGTATGAGTTTGTTGAAGTTCTTTCAGACTATGAAGACGAATGTGGTGTAGATGTTGCATACATGGCTAAGTTGAAAGGTTTTGCATGTCTTTTTTGTAGGATGATGAACGATGGTAAAGGGTCCTTCCGAATTCCTGCAAAGCATATTTATAGGTTCTCTCACAGGGTTCCTTCTTTTAAGATGAGTGGGAAAGAGCGTATAGGTGTTCCTTGTGGTTCTTTTGAGCTTGACCCTGCTTCCTTGCCTTCTGAAATCGATGAAATTGATCCTCTCACTGCTTTATCAATGTTCTGAACCTAGCAAAGGTAGTCTTAAATCACCAGATAACTTCGGTGACAACTCATCTTCGCCAAAAAAATTCTGAAACTCCCAATCCAATATTTCTGAGTTTGATGCTGTGAAGTCGATGGAAAAGTTCCATGTTGACCGGGTATGCCCATTCTACTGTGATGAAGATACGTTGAACTGTTTTCTCATCAGCTGCGAGTTACCAGAAACAAGTTTATGGCATTTACTCAGAGAAAGGTGAGGCCTTGGGATTATACAAGAATAGAACATTCACATGACTTGTTCAGACTTTGACAACTGTGACTATGAAATCGTCGAAATCCTGTTCAAGAAGGACTTAGGTTATGTATAATCGTTCCGTTTCTAGATCAGGTGAATCGTTTCAGGACTGTTTTCAGGTGGAAACCCGATAAACTGTTCATTTCTTAGGAAGAAGATACCATTGGCTGAGCTGCCTAACTAGATTCAGCCACCAGATACCCGTATTTTACCTCATGAAAGTTTTGGCAGGACCAAGTTTTTTTTTTTTTTTTTTTTTCTGCATTTCCAAAGTTCCTTCTAGTATTTTGGTTTATGTAGTGCTGCCCCTGCACTTTTGCTTGTAGTTAATGCCAGTTGCCAAACATAGCAACATGTTTTGCCAAACCTGATTGAAAATACCTGAAACCGACAGGACTCTTGCCACCACTAGTTGAAAATTAAGAAGTTGTAACAGTGGGAAAAGTAAGAGCCAAAAATTGCTAAAATTTAGTAAGCCACATTACATTTGTGAATCTACTATAAATAGTTTAATTCATAAATTACAATGTAAATTTATTTTTTGTAGGCAAAAGGAGTATTATAAGAGCAAATGTTAGGTGATCATCAAGCAAAGCATGCATCCCAAACGGGAGGATTCCTTTAGTCTAATTAGTTTAGCATTCAATTTGGTACACTTTCAATTTACGGGAACAGTCCCGTCGTAAGAGGAAGTAGTAATTCCCTTGAATTTTGATTCATTCATCTAAGAATATTTCCCCAAGATGAAGTTACAAACTTGCAAATATTAATATTCCCTCCGTCCCAAAATTATTGTCCAGTTTGGATTTTCATTTTTAGTTTAAATTGTACTAAAAGAGAAATTTCAAACTGGACAATAATTTTGGAACGGAGGGAGTAGTAAATTAATTTTGCCGGATTCGAAGTCTGATCATTTATGGGCGAGGCATTGAAGTCTTTCCAAGTCTGATCATTCCGTCCCTCTGTGCTTCCAAAGGTTCCCATCCTTTGCGTAATTTCCAGTAATATTTTTCATCTTTTACATTCTACAGTTCTTTGCTTATCATACATTAGGCATCCCTTATTCACTTATGTAATCTAATGCCTTACAAAAATGTATTAGAAAATTGTAGGACATGTTAATTAAGGTGTTGAATTCCGTGGAACAAAATTTAGCAAATTGGTGTTCTTGATGAAAACAATTTACATGAATTATGCGGAAACAATATGGAATTATAGGATTTTTTTTTTTCTTCTTTCCTACCAGATTTGAAGCAGGCCTTACCCTACTACCATCGCAAGCACCCTGAAAGGAAATTGTCAATTATTGTCCATTCGTCATAGCAAGAACATGTCTATTGATAGCAATTAGTACATACGTACGTAGCTATTGCAACTTAAAGTTAGTACTATCATTTTGTACGACCCCCGAGGATGTTAAATTATAGGTTACAGTTGCACAATGATGTTGTCGGATATTCATATATATCCTTAGAAGTTACTGCTCCAGTCCTTATTATAAGGTATTTTGATTTCATCCTAGGTTAATCCAAGATGTCTTTTAATTTCAAAAAAAAATTTAAAAATATATTTTTACATTAGTTGTATTCTCCTAATTATTATGAAATATTTTTAAAATTTTTATTCCAATTAAAAAGATATCCTAAATGAAACTTAAGAAGAAATCAAAATGTCTCATAATAAGAATGGAGGGAGTAGAATAGTAGTCCGCTTAATCATTCAACAAGGACTTTTGCCTTCATGATTATGTAAAAGAAAACAGCACCTTGATTAGAATTGTAATGATTCTAAAATCGTGGAATCCTAGTTGCTGTCAAAAGTTAACACGAAAGTTTTTTTTTTTTTTTAATAAACAAAGGATGATTTGATGATGAGAAAATGGTGATGGTTCAACTGTGTTGTTAAGCAAAATGTGAAAGGCACACGTTTGCAGCTGAAAAACTGATGAAAGATGATCTGAATTTGCCATGGCTGCTTTTTGAATTTGTGGTATATAAAGTTTGAACTGTTGATATATGAATGTATTGACGACATTCACGTCTGAGTTAAGTAACTTGGTACGAGATAATCTTTGAGCAATTTTTTTTGGTGTGACTGGTTTATTTGCTTAACAAAATTGACTATACCCGAAAGAAAAAAATTAAAATTTTATACCTCAACTATCTCAAGATTCTAATGGTAAGTCATCTTAAATTCTAATTTCCTTATTCTTTTTTGTTTCTTTTCCTTTTCTTTAAGCTTTTTTTCTATTTTTTTAACAACTCTTTCTAGAGTCCCTTTTTAATAGCCGACTATATATTGCAACAATCACTCTATTGCTTGCGGTTATTACGTTCCTCATTGGATTCACAAAAAAAAAAAAAAGGTTCGCCTCCTTGATTTGCAGTATATATTAATTTAATTTATCCTTGTTAAAAATTTAATTATACATTTTTTTTTTCTTGGCCTTACAAAATAAGATTAATTAATTCCTTTGCAGTTGAAGCAATTAAATTAACTGACGAGTCCATATCCATCATCGAGACTGGACCTGCCCATCAACCGAGAGAAGAGTCCAATCGATTCTCTTAAGGCGGCTTAAGTTCCCGAAACATGATAGGACTCAAAGACTTCCCAGATATTCTCATGCCTATAAATACGGTTGCTCCCACCACAATATAGGTACGCAATCTATAGCTTAACACACTACACACTCAGATATTCCGATAAACTCCGAGACTTTATTTTGCAGGATATCCTAACTGGAGTTTCACTGTTAGACTGGCGGCGCAAAACCAAGCTTCGTCATTAACCTTTGATTAATTTAACCAATAATCATGGGGAAGGTTCACGGTTCGTTGGCTCGCGCCGGAAAGGTGAGAGCACAAACACCTGAGGTCCCAAAACAAGACAAGATGAAGATGCCTTGCGGTCGCGCTCACAAGCGTATGCAGTTCGACCGCCGCTTCTCCGCCGCCGTTGTTGGCTTCGGAAAGAAGAAGGGCCCTAACTCATCGGAAAAATAAATTCAACTAAGTAGCATAGCAGTAGTAGTAGCACCACCACTGAGTTCAGATATAATTCAATTTTTTTTTCCCTTTTTTTTTTTCCAATGTGTAATGTAATTTTTTATTTATTTTTGGTATTCACTTGATTAATGCAATTGTTATTGAAGATCCCTTTTGGTGCAATCGCAACTACAATCAAGCTACTATCCACATGAACACAACGATCACGATTGATTCGTTGATTCCCATAAGTACGTATGTAATATGTTCTAAATTTGTGCTCCTTCTGTCTAAAAAAATTCTAAATGTTATGCTTAGTACTAGATTATTAATAATTAAAAAAAATTCTAAATGTTATGCTTAGTACTAGATTATTATTATTATTATTATTATTATTTTTGGACGAGTAGTTTTTTTTATCCCACATAGTTTAAACATGGTCTATATGGTAAGCACCAGACAAATTCATAAACTAGTTTCGTGTTAGTATTGTCCAAACATGGTCTGGTAAGAGCAAGAAAATTTGCGACGGATGATTTTATAAATTCACTAGTTTCTTTTCTCTTTTTGTGTGCTTTTAATCAAATTCTAGAAGAAAGTTTTTTTTTAACCACTCATTTTTTCCGAAATTTTATCATATGTACTATCCCTTTTTTTTAAAAAAATAAAAAACCAAATTTTTCTTCCATTGGTTTCGGTCATTTTTTAGTCTTTTACTTAGAGTTGTTCTTGATTAATAATTCCATCTCGAAAAGGATAACAATATCTTAATTAGATCAATTTTTACCTTCTTGTTAGTGGGGGCCCAAATTTCTGTCCTTCCGGTGGGACGATTTCTTTTTTATACTATTTTAATAACTTTTCAGGATTTTTTTTCTTTTTTCAAATTGATCATTAGTGTCTACTTTTCTTTGGGATACGAGCAAGATTGAGTTCATCCCATCAAGTTCCGGTGTAGCTTCCTTGACTCAAGCCACCAACAAATCAATCTCCAGGTTCGTTCTTAATTAGCAGTATAAATCTTCTGTTCTTAAATTTTTTTTTTTTTTTTTTTTTTTATCTTTTGATATTATAGTTCTTTGATATACACGCATCTCTGTGTAATCTAGAGCCTTAAAGAGATCAATTAGTAAAAATTACTTTTTTTTGTCCTGTTCCTTAGCTTATGTAACCTGGGGGTTAGTTAAGATGCGAGGGAATAATTAGAACTTAGTGTTAGCGTGATCTAAAAGTTTTTTATTTGATAGGAGTCTATTTGTATTCGTTCCTGTATCAATAGCATATATTCATCCTCACAGAAAAGCACTTATTACAATGCAATAATTTGTGTAGGAATTTCAAACCGTATTTAATAATAATCACTTGGCTTTACCATCCGTTTTAGCAGACGAGTAACCGGTTCGCAGGGTTTATGCCATGAGTTTCAAGTTACCCTAGTCAAAGCACAAAAAATTATTGTGGTTTTTCTCTCCATCACTAATTTTAAGGTTCCGCTTTGAAAACCTAAAATAAATTATATTCTCTTGTCGCATATTAAAAGTAATAGTAGTATAGTCAATCAAACCTTGGTACACACTTCCTCTTTCCGAATGATGTTCACTATAGTATAATTTAAAAATTGTAATTTATAATATTTTTTCTAAGTTATCAGTACATAACTTTTAGGTGAGGATATTTCGTAGATGAAGTAAATCGCTATTGCAAGGAGTGTTTTTCTCTTTTTTTCTTTTTTCATACCGATTTTGTTTTTCCCCTCTCCATCACACCAATTATTTACCGAAGTAAAATTAGGCATCAGGAATCAAATGAGCAACTATGAGAAAAGGAAAAATACTGAAAAAGTTGTAGAATACATACGTACATGAAATACAAAATTACTCTGAACTGGTAAGTCTTTATTTTACCCTGAACAGAATTTGGTCACGACACCCAAGTCATGCCAATTATATTATTAAAAAAAAATGTGTGACTTTCCAGGGCTAAGCCCATCTTTTAGAGTTAAGAATCGAATCTCATTTAGAGTTAGGTGTATGGTTGAAATAAATTATGTGAGATGTATAACGTTACTCTTTGTTTATCATATTTGATCATTAGTTTCAGTACCCCAAAATAGATTGAAACATGGGAGAAGAAGTAGATGGAGGATTTTCGCCAGCAGTCGAAAATGATCAGAACATGGAAAAAGAAGGAAATGCAGGATCTTCGCCTGCAGCAGTGGAAAAAGATCAGAACATTGTCGAAGACCGAGACCGAAAATCTTTGCCATGTGGTGGAAGAAGATCAGAACATAGGAGAAGAAGGAGAAGTTGAAGGATTTTCACCAGCATTGGAGAAAGATCAGAAGGTGGGAGAAGATGGAGATGGAGAATCTTCTCCAGTAGTGGAAAGATATGAGAATGTGGGAGAAGAAGAAGATGGAAAATCTTCCCAAGAAGTGGGAAAAGATCAGAACATAGGAAAAGAAGAAGATGGAGGATTTTTGCCAGTGGCTGAAAATGATGGAAACACGGGAGAAGAAGAAGAAGATGAAGAATCTTCTCCAGTTGTTGAGAAAGATCAAAACATAGGAGTAGAAGAAGCAGAAAAAGATGGAGGGTTTTCGCAGGTAGTGGAAAAAGATGGAGCTGTCACCAATCAAACTCCCACAGATCAGCTCAATTGGATCCCGACAAGTGTTTCTCGCAAACCCTATCAGGGGCCGTTACCTTTTGGTGGTAAATTAGGTTTTTCTTCTGTTTGCCATGTTGATCCCACAGACACTTCTTCTACTTCTACTTCCGGTCCTGCGCCTTCCAAGATAGAAGTTCAGACTGCGATGGATTATTTACAAAGGTATATATCATATAAGTCATTCCCCATCTATATATTCGTATGATTGATTGTTTGAAATCTTTGTATATAACTAATTGAAATCTTGGTTGTTGTATAGTTTGGTAAAGGGTGAAGCTAGATCCGGCAAGGAGTCAATCATCGTCTCTCCCGACTCAAACATTGTGCTGAAATCAGGCCGTGCAAGATTCAACAATGCCCTAGATTTGCTCCAAAAAGAACCTGCAGTCGAGGTAGTATAATATTGATGAATCCGTTTCTGTATATATTACCGTGCGCTACTCCTCTGTCAAAAAAAAAAAAAATAGCTCATATTGAGTTTTCAAATTCATAATAAAAAGCGTACAAACCTCAAAATTCAATGTAGATTATTTTTTGTGACAGGAGGAGTTTTATTCTGTGTCTTTTCTCTAAATGAGGTCATCTTCGTGTAGAATTTGGTTGTCAACATATCTTCTGACAAGGGTTTCTGGAATGCTATCATGAAGAACGAGGCTGTTCAGAATCTCCGAAGCTCCATTTCTAAAGGTTTTGACTGACAATCTGCCCCGAAAACCTTTTCTTTTCCTTTTTTTTTCCTATTGATTATTTCATGTCATTCAAAGTAATGATCTATAGTCACTCCCATTTTTTTATTGATGTTTATTCATCACGAAATTGTAGAACGAGATACACAGCTCGAAATGAAGGAATCTACTGAAGGACCCGATATGAAAACCAGGGTTTTGGGGTGGATTCAGGAGATGATTACGAGGTCAAAGATACGAGAATTGATTGAGAAAATTGGTGCGATGTTGGCCGATCTATTTGTTGCTAAGCATAAAGATAAGCCCATATCAGACCTCAATGATCTTCAGGAAGAAAGGATTAGGTCCTCGTTCCTGCTTTCAGTGGTCATTATTTTCATAATTGTTCTCACAAGAAACAATTGAAGCTAGATGAAGAATTTTTGGCAGGCTCTACCGTTCTAGTGCAGTGACTTTTTAAGATAGTATGCCACGTATGTCACCAAGTAATTTCACTTAAAAGTATTCACGGTCTTTATAATTTTTTTTTTTTAGTGAGCTACAATTGATTGTGTGTAATAATTCTACTATTTGTATTTCATTGTTTCTCCCAAATTGTTCGTTGAACGACAGTTGCCCAATACTTTATAAGTTACAATTTGGTTCGAAATTTAATCAATTAGTTGAGTTAGTCTACAATTTTGACACTAAATAATCCAATCAAATAATACTGAGTGTGAGAGTCTAAAGAATCATTACAAAAATAAACTAAATAAGATGTAATGTGTCAGCCCCAAAATAAGTTTGTATTTTTTCTATTCTAAAATAATTTTCGTATATGAATTTTTACTTTTAGTATAATCCGTACTAAAATGAAAATTCAAACTGGATAATTAATTTAAATTGGTCTGCCGCTGCTAGGCCAAAATTTTGATCGGATTAAGACGGTGGTTTGGCATGTCACCGACATGGACATGACCTGGCTAAATTACATTTCGAACTACTTCATCAGATAATAATTAATGTAAGATATAAATTAACATTAAAATTGTTTAAAATTTGTGGCAAATACTTAGGATGGGAGGGAGTAGAATTTTACCAAAAAAAGAAAAAATATTAAAATGTGAGCTATTGTTTTTCGAACATGTTTATGTTGTACATTTTAATTTGTTAATGCACTTGCAAATTAAAGTACCATATTGTTAAAAATTACCGAAGCTTCAAGAAATATGACAACTAGAATTCATCCTCTTTTAATCAAAATGGTCATTGAGGAGTGTACGTGAATTATTTAAAAGTGTCTTCTTTCGGATTATTTAATTAACTGAGCAGTATTATTAGTGGAAGGGTACATGAATCATGCATGTGTAAACGGATTCTTTCTGAACTGATCGTCAGTACGTCAATAGAAGCTGAAATGGTGATTCGTGTAGCATCAAACTACATTCAATCACGACCTTTGAGATTCTGTCAATTTATTGGAACAACTGATCGACAATTTATACTTTTTGAAAATTCTAACAATAATGTTTCTCTCTAAGCAAATTAATTTGATCCTTTAGTATTTTATTATGTGGGTCTGCCGAATTATGTTGACTAACTAAGCTATTAATTCTAAAAAATTAATTTGTCGAGATAATAATTTCACACGTAAGGACATTAAACCTATGCCGGAAATAGTTAGATTTTAGTTTGGACATGAACTCACCACTCTTCTATATAGTCTATATAATAGTCATTTCAGTACTGAAAACTAAAACAAACACATCAAAGCATTTAATTTAGACATTCCATTCTTTGGAATTTCTTCTTTCTTAAAGCTAGCTTCTTTTATCTTGTGGAGAAGAGTTTGATGGCTAATTTTCCTAAATATGATTATCCTATTCTTGCTTCTCCCAGCATGGAAGTTGAATCTTGTAATAGCTTGGGTTGAGTGTGCAAGAGTAGTGGAGACTACTAACGGAGCTGAAAAAACTACCTTCGGGCGTAAGAAAGATGCTGTACCCCCCAACCGAAGTCGCATTTTTTCCGCAAGACGGAACGATCTTCCGACGAGAGATGCAGCATGGACTTACTTGTACATCACTTCAATGTGGTGCGAGTTGCATTTGGTTACCATGACGCCGTCACCGCCGTGTTGAGCTGCGTTTGTGCTGCTAACAAAGCGTGTTACAGAAACGAATCACCCCCAGCTGCTGATGGATAAGAAAGCGACTGAACAAGAAGCTCACAAAAAATATAGGGCTTTTTTTTTTTTGGTAAAATGCAAATTTGTATTGATTCCTTCCATTGTACACTGTACAAAAGCTCCTATCTATTACATTTCATCTGAAAATGGGCATAAATACCCAACTTCCCCAAAAACCTTATGTCATCCCACTACCTTTTCTACAATAAAATTAAACATGCCAAATAACTTCCTGTGTAATCATTTCAATTCTTTCCTGTAAAGTTCTGATCTTTTGCTGAAAATGCCTCTCATTCGTTTCTCTCCATATGTGATAAACACAAGCCACCACACAGGAATGGAGAATTCTCTGTCTTACTACCTTGTACCTCCATTTCTTCAGTACTTGCTCTCAGATTGCCAAAGCTTGCCTGCAAACCAACCCCGTTCAATGCACCTATCAGAACTCCTGCTGCATAATCACATTTAAAAAATAGGTGGTCAATCTGTTCATCCTCATTTCCACACAATTCACATTTCCCATCACTTAAGGCCAGTTAAGGCTATTACTCTGGCCAGCCTATCCGGTGCTTCCCATCTCTAACCTGTTATTCCCTCTGTGCCAAAAATATAGTAATTCACCATACTACATATAATTTGAAATGTGTATTAACGCAACATGAACTGTATATTCTTTTGAGACATAAGTTGGCCTTTTCTTTCAGTGGTGTTGTTCTAATATACTTGGAATAAGTTTTTCGTTGTTGTTTTTGTCGTCTGTTTTATTAGTAAAGTAATCTTTAATTAGTTAGTTGTAATTCATAGTTTTTCAATCGGGAGAGACTTTTTTTTTTTATTTTTTATCAAATGTAAATTTGTATTGATGTAAAAAACTCCTACATATTTTCAACTTCCTGGCAGCTATAAACTTAACTTGACTTCCAAATAGCTACAAATCAATTCCTAGACTCCTCAGAAATTGATTCTCAATAGCCCTAGCTTTATACTTACTATGTTGCTCTTTCATCATCACCTCCTGTTTCAATTTCCTGACTCTATTACAAACTGGTACTTCCTCACCTCCAAATTTCCTACCATTTCTTTCCATCCAACCATTATAGATCACAGAATTGACATAGGCAAATAAAACTTTCTGCTTGACTTTTCTATACCTCCAAATCCTCCTCAATCTGGCAGCATTCAAAGTGTTGATCCTAGTCTGTAAACCAATCCATTCCCGCATTTCCTTCAGCAATTCTTTTGTATATGGACACTGGAAGAAAAAGTGCTTCAAACTTTCTGGTTCCTACTGACACAAACAGCAAACATCTGAGCTGACAGAAACTTGGAGCTTGATCAATCTGTCTATTGTTAACAATCTTCCTTAGCCAACTAATGAAGCAATGTCTTGGAAGACTATAACCAATCCACACAATGCTGGTAGCTTGAAACTTCTGTGCAGTACCCGTCAACCATTTATATCCTCCCCTTGCAGTATAGTCTTTGCCTTGATCTCCTTTCCACTTTCCTTGACTGATTCTACCTTTCAATTGCTCTTTCCGGATACATAACTTCTTCCAGTGCCAGCTACAGTCTTGTGATGCTTTGTAATCCCACCAACTCTTCCCTTTAATGTGATATAGATGCACCCACCTAATCCATAAACTTTATTTGTGATGAGCTATATCCCATAGCTGCTTACCCAAAAAATTTCTATTCCAAATGCCTGGCTTCTTCATGTTTAACCCTCCTTCTGCTTTTGATCTACAAATGTGATCCCATGCTACAAGAGACCATACTTTACCAGTTCCTTTCTTTCCCCATAAAAAGTCCCTACAACACTTCATTATCTATTGTATGACATTCAGAGTGATCAGAAAGATGCTGGCCCAATATGAATTAAGGTTGAGAAGCACTGTATTAATAAGCAAAGTTCTACCTGCAAATCACAGGTTCCTTGAAGACGAACATTTGATTCTAGCTGTTACTTTATCCACCATTAACTGACAGTCTCCTCTAGTCCATGATGTTGGAGTAAGTGGCATTCCCAGATACTTCATTGGAAACTCCCTAATGCCAAACTCCATAGTTGCCTGAATTTGATCCTGCACTCCATCCGTCTTTCCTCCAAAGTACAAACAAGACTTCTGTTCTTTAATAGACAAACCAGATGTTTCAGTAAACTAATTCAGCACTTGCTCAATCCTCCCTACTGTAGTTAATTCAGGAACACAAAAAATAAGCAGATCATCTGCAAAACTTAGTGTAGTGATCTTCAACTTTTCACAGTAAGGAAGATATTGAAATCCATCCTTTTCAGATTCCAACTTCATTTGCCTTGTTAGATACTCCAAGACTAACACAAATAGTAATGGAGACATGGGATCACCTTGTCTAAGTCCCTGTTTTCCAGCAAAAAAACCTTTACTACTGCCATTCAGATTCACTGAGTACATACAGGTTGTAACACATCACATAATCCAACCAATAAACCTTTGAGGAAAACCATAAGCTTGTAACATTATGCAAGATTAGTCTTCCCTTAATAAAAGCGCCCTGATTTAATGCTATCAAATCTGGCAGAACTTGGCTCAACCTTTTACAAATCATCTTAGAAATACATTTGTAAAGTGTGTTACAACATAAAATTGGCCTATATTCCTTTGAATCCTTTGGTACTGTTGTCTTTGGAATTAAAGAAATCATAGTAGTGTTTACTTGTCTGAGGAGTTTACCTGTTTCGAAGAACTCCAAGATAGCTCCACTTACTTCATCTCCAATGATACTCCATGTACTTTTAGAAAAACCACTGTTAAATCCATCCGATCCTGCACTTTTGTTGCTATCTATTCCAAACATAGCGTCCTTGACATCATCTTTGGTAAAGTCTTCAATCAGAAGGATCTGTTGATGAATAATCAGCTTGATCCCTGCATTGAATACCTCAGGTTGAGCTGATGTTCTTGGAATAGCTATTCCCAGCAAGTCTTCATAGTAGCCAACAAAATGCCTTTCCACTTGCTGCCAATCCTCTATCAACTCTCCACTTTGATTCTGAAATGATCTAATCCTGCTTCTGTGACTTTTCCCTTTGATGCAAGCATGATAGTATTTGGTATTCTAGTCCCCTTCCTGGATCCATCTATCCTTTAATCTTTGATCCCCAAAACTCATCACAGCCTTACTTGCATTTATGTAATCCTGCTTAATTTCTTTCCTGCCTTTGCAATTCTTCATATTGAGGATTAATTTGAATCATCTCCTGTATGGTTTCTAGCTTCATCTTCAGCTGAATTGCTTTATCTTCAATACCTCCAAATTGAACTCTATTGAGCTCCTTCAACTTCGCTTTCAGGAGTTTTTGCTTTTTTACTACTGCAAATTGTTTCCAGCCCTTTACTTTGACTTTCCATCCTTCTACCACCAACTTCATGTAATCAGGACTTTGGATTTGCATATTAAAGAATCTAAAAGCTTTAATATCAACTGTATTATCTTCTCCCCACTTAATCAACAAAGCTTTATGATCAGATATACTTTCTGATAATCCAGTAGTATATGCTGTACTATACTGATTTAGCTAAGCACCATTCATTAATGTTCTGTCAAGCTTTGAATATATTCTATTCTCACCCAACTCTCTGTTATTCCAAGTAAACAACCCTCCTTGAATTTGCATATCCCAAATTTCACTATCCTCTACCCACTGGTTGAATTTCTCAGTGTCCACATTGGCTTCATTCTGGCCTCAATTTTTCTTCTGATTTCAAGACATGGTTAAAGTCCCCCATAACCAGCCAAGCACCTTGTATCATGTTGCTTATTCTTTTAAGATCTTCCGATAATTGACACCTTCGCTGTGCTAAGTAATCAGCATAAACAACTATGATGAAGTAATGATTCTTACTTTGCATCTCTTGCACATTTATATGGATAAATTGCCTATTCATTTCCACTAACTAAACCTCATAGTCTCGCTTTTGCCATACCACCAGTATTTTGCCTTTATCAGCTCCTACATGATTACTCAAGTGATCATAAGAGCTCTATTTCTGCTTTACTCCTTCACCTTTTCCTATTTCAGTTTAGTTTCCAACATTCTAGCCAACACAATTCTATTCACAGAAAGGTAAGTGCCAACCTCCTTGTGTTTCAGGGGACTATTTAGTCCCCTTACATTCCATGATAAGATGTTGCTCATGATTACTAGACCCTATATTAGGGTGGCTAGTATATGAATAACTAATCTTATTAATGGAACTTAGTTTATCACAGTCTTCTTTCAGGAACCTTAACACCTTTCTGATTAAGAATTTGTATACTTCTTTCTATATCCTTCTCCTCTAATAACTCCTGTACATTCCTTCCTTTACTTCCTTCAGAATGATTCTTCATAGTAGTCTTACATTTCACCACTTCTTTCCTTTCGCTTTTATCATTTGTCATCACTTTCTGAGGACTTCCCTGAATCACTGCCTTGTTAATTCCTCGATCCTAAGCTTTTGGCTTCCATACTGTCACTGGAGGGTGTCTACATATCTCAGTCTCATGGCCATACCCCTTACAGTTCCTGCATTGGATAGGTTTCAACTCCTAATGCACACTTTGCTCTTGTAACTTCCGATGTTCATCTTCAAACCAGATTACTTTCTTCAACTTCCTAGAAATCTCAACCTCTACCAGAATTCTTGCAAAGGCTGTTCTGAGTTTTTGAGCAGTCATATCATCCATTTCAATTGGATTACCAACCATGCTTGCCAATCTACTGAGAGTCTTCACATTCCAGTATCTTAGTTTCAATTTAGGAAACTAAATCCACACTGGCACTTTCTGTATATCCTCCATGTTAAAATCCTCGGCAACCGACTAATCTTTGATAATAAAAGGCTTATTATCAAATTGGTGTACATTAGTCTTCAATATATGTTCATTTGCCTCTATAAACACACACGCACTAACCCACAACCCCCGAATATACATATACATATTTATACTATATATTCATTTTTCCCGACCATAACCATTTATATAAATTAATAATAGGCAATATACGAAGAGATTTTAGCCAAGTACAAGCACAAGAGTTATGCAAAGCGCAAGAATTCAACTTCATTTCACTGATTATTTTTGACATAGATGTTCGAGGTGACTATTCTCATTAAAATGTTTATACTATGTGATTATATATATTTTATTATGTGTGATCGGGGTGTACTTTATCACTCCGAAAAGTGTTAAATTGAACATATTGAGTGTTATTTGTACAAAATGATTCCATTGGATGTGTGTAAAGTGAAGTGGATCCACAAGCCTTTTAGTTTCCACGAGCCTTTTAGTGAATCGAACCCGACGGGGCGGTATTGGACTTGACCGTCGGCTAGAAGAACTTGAAGGTAGTGAATGGTAATATGGAGATTTACCACAGTGATTGGTACATACCATAATTAGTGTTGGGGCGTGGTTGACAAAATAGACAAGTGATCGCTCGATTGGCAAGTGAACCCGGGATCAGTGTTCTGAGTGTAATCAGAAATCCATTCCAATTTCTCCAGTCATGCTGACTCGGAGTGGATTTCTTTAGCACTCTCCGTATCCTTTGTCTATGCGTGACCTCTATGATTTATTCGTTATACTCGTTATGTGACTTGGATTTTTATATGTGATTGTCTGTTTATTGTATTAATGTTTTTAATAAGACTTCATTGGGCTTTAGCTCATTCCTTCAATTTTGTTTTCCTTACAGTTAATGAAGACCACGAAATAAGACTCAAAAATTCAACTGTGCAATAAAAGCACTCGTCAAAGTTGGAACTGTCGTAGTGTAATGTTCTGAAATTACTCTCAATTTTAGAAAAAAAATGTAATAGTTAGGCCAAATGTCTATATATTAAATAAAATAATTTATATCACTTAATTGCATATGATTATCAAACGACTGTTATTGAGTCCTGACGAGAGTCAGGCCGACGCCCGAACACCGCTTCTTCGCGGTCAACGGGAGTAGCCTGCTTCCGGGGCATTACATGATCAGACCGGAATTCCTCACAATGTTATGTCAATGAGCTTCTATCTCTTGTAGTAATTGTGTCTAATTCTACTAACAGTGTTTCACTGTTTGGCCTAAAGTACTAAGTTGTGTGTTCCTCAACAGTTGCCCGAAAAAGTAAGTACGTTAAGAGATAAAAGCGGATAAAAGTGAAGTTACTTACATCTGGCTGATAGCATACGAGCTGAATTTTGAAGCTGCCTTAAGATCTTGGACTTCAAAGGTCAGTAGCTTTAAAGGAGGGACCTATTGCCACTCTTGTCAGCCCTGGACATTCACTGTTGCTGGATTCAGAGCTCGATGCACATCTTTTGTGGTTTATTCTTCATTTGCTGCAGTATATGATGGATGTCTTGCAAAGCCCTTCATGGGCTACTCAGTAGATGAGGTAAACATCTCAATTTCAGGAGTTTGGCAACTAATCGAAATCGCTACACAAACTATTTTTACAGAGGAATGTGTGTTGAACAGTGATTTTTTGGAGTCCACTGTCCACAAATATCATTTCTCCACTGTCCACAAAGATCATTTCACTGGTTAAGATTTTCTTGCTGGAATTTAATTTGATTTGAAAGGATTGAGAGTGGATTTCTCCTGTGCTAAACAAATGGTTGTTGATGATTATGGATTACCATTTACCGCATTTAAGGGAGGGGCTCAAATTTTAAATGGTCACTTTCCTATATATGGTTTTGAAGATAGAGGAATTGAACTTATCTGGGACAACGAAATTCATGACTGGAAGCCATGGGTAGTACTTGCTACTGTTTTCAAGGGAGGAACTATTTCTCTACGGGTGAAACAGGTTTTTGCTAGTAATCAGAAACTTTTCATGACATTTAAGGAGAATATAGGTGACAGCTTCTCTGAATGGAATACTTTTGGAGCTGCTCTTTGCGGAAATCAACAACATATCATTGCTGCTACTAACAAAAAGAATTTATTTTTAGAAAATGATAAGTTATAGACTTCTATATATATACACACACACACACACACATACACACACACACACACACACATATATATATATATATATGCATGTAACAAGTTTTTTTAGTCATGATGGGACTAAATGGTTTAATCAAATAAATAAATATGCTACGCTTTGATTTTCAAGTTTTGATTTTTTAAAAGTATAATTTATACTAAAAAATGAAATTAAAAAATAATAATCATTTTGAGATGGGTTATATACATTACTTTTCTTAATGAGAATCATTTAAATATTTTGTGGTCTGGCGAATAATTGGGATGGTAAGCTGTGCAAACATGGTCAGGATCTTGTATGACAGATTGTGTCACGTATAGTTAAACAATGGGCATGAGTCATTATTGATTAATATCATGATTTAAAAATAGTAAATCCATATTGAGGTAAATGATTTGGGGTTTGTCAATTTTTCTTTTATACAAAATTTGTTAGTTATAGGGAGAGTGTAACACGAAAAGTGTCAGAGAAAATCTTGTACTGTGTAAAGAGACACGAAATTTGTAATCTCTGGGGCAAAATCTTACAACTCATGATTTTTTTGCCAATTATAGGCAACATGAGGGAAGAAATGGCAGGTCAATGTCGACCAATTTGGTCGTCCTTCACAATTGAGAACCACACAATTCAATGAGGACGTCGACTTCAGATCAATGTCGTAATTGATGTTCTTACCTACTCCCAATTATTCATGATATTCTTTTTTTTTTTTTTTTTCTCTTCGTCTTTTGGTTTACAAAAGTTAAAACAGTGGCACTTTTATTCTTTCTTCTGTTATCATTGATATTTTTCCTAAAAAGTTTGGATACAAACTCCCCCAGTTCTTATTATAAATACATGGTTCTCTCTTACACCTACTACTACTACTTGTATCTTCACAGAAGGAGAAATTCAATAATGGCTAAGTTCCCCAACTATGTCATCCTATTCTTGCTTCTTTCTGCATGTAAGTAGTAATTCTTTTTATTTATTTATTTATTTTTCATCTCATATCTTTCTCTCTTTAATTCCCTCTCGGGTTAACTTCTTTATCAATACTGTATGTTGCAGTTGCTGGGGTTTTGGAAATTGAGTCTGCTAGAGTGGACAGTAGAGCTGAAGCCGAAAAGACAGCCTTCGGCGTAAGAAAGATGCTGGACCCACCAACTGAAGAGGTCGTCGAGATAATGTCTGAAGTCGTCGGAAAGATGTTCAAAAGAGAGTTGGAGTATCGACTTACCACAAAACGATGTTATGAGCGTTGCATTTTTGCACCAGTGTGCGTCAGCGCCATAACTGGCTGCCACTGCGAAGACACCTACTGCGTCAAAAAGGAATTAACCCCAGTTCTTGGATCATCCCAAAGCGAGTAATCATGAAGACGAGACACCAAGAAACCTATATATGGTTATGTTGTTGAATGGGGTTCGGGGTTGATTTCTCACTAATTTGGTTAACTCCAAATTGTGTGGGCTGTTTGCTGCATTATTTTCTCCTTTTCCCTTTTCCAATCTTCATGAACTTGTTAATTATTCTTCTATTTTTGTGTAACCCTTTCCCATGATTTGGTGTTGTACTGTTCACTTCTTGTGACATGACCCAAGTTTATTGGAATAAATAAACTCGTCTTCGTCGTTGTTGTTGTTGTTATCTGTTTGTCTGTTTTCAGCGCAAGCTACTCAATTTCATAAATTTGTACACGTCAAAACACTATACATCAAAGAAAAAGAATGACAAAAAACACGGATTTTGACGATTCATACTCGATCACAACTTCAGTGAACAAACATACATTTTTCATTGTTTTTCTTTTAAACTAGGACAGTACCTCGAGGTTATTCTTATTGGTATCAGATCTAATGTTTTTAGGCATGTTCGAGTGGATTTTTATTTTATTCATGATCATGTTCAATGGAAACTTGTTTTGATTCACTATTTGTCTCTTCCTGATCAGTTTGCTGATATGCTTGCTAAGTCATTGACCCCAACGAAATATAATTCTTTTATTATATTTTTACGGGCAGTGCATGTATTGACCCCAACGAAAACATAGGCAATATCACACTTAGTTTAAACTCTGCATAACCTAATCACATTTTGTTCTACTGAGACAAAAAAATAACTTTATTTTCCTTATATATGAAAAATTCTTATGATCTAAAGCAACCAAACGGATAAGCATTATTTGGGAGATCCGTTTGAGTAAATTAATCGTTATAGAATAGCATTCTGTAAACTAGCCACATAAGATTTTAATTTCTCTTTCTCTCTTGGCCCATGAAATTCTCTCTCTTCTCTATGAGGTGTTGCGTTTCTTTTTTTTTCCCCCCTCAACTTTATATTATTATCATTTATTTATTTATTTATAATCCTATCTAAAATAAATAAATAAATAGTCAATATTGACTTTTGCAATTTATACTATATTTAACACAAAATATTAAAATTTAATGTCTGACAATTTTTTTTTCTCAAAGAAAAATATCTTAATGGTTTTGTTTCAAGATGAAGAGTGACAACCGACAGCCTTGTTGGCTCCATAATTGCTTGAAGATCAGAGTAGATGGATGAACGTTATCTTGGAACACCAAACATATAAGATATTCTCCTGATCTTCGGGGTTCATAAACCATTAATGTGTTGGCATTGAATTTCAATTAGATTGGTCCACGAGCATCATGAAAGCTTCTAGGGCTAACTACATTTCGCATTCCAGGGACCAGGTTAATTAATTTATAGATATGCATCCATGAGCTATGCGTGTATAGCTCTTAAATTTCAGTGTACGTAACACATCAATTTCTGAGCCCTCTTCTTCTTTGCCTTGTCACAAAAATTCCCATTTTTTATATTATACTCCTTCCATTTCAAAATGTAGATCGTTTTAGGTTTGGAGAGATTTTTCAAAATGTAGGTTGTTTTACAAATTCTAGGTAAATTAATTACTATTTTCCAACTTTACCTTCAATAAATGATGCTAATCTATTTGTATTCAGTCTTGTTTATAGTTTCAATATAATTAATGCGGGGTAAAAAAGATATTTAACATATAAATTAATTGTTGGATGATTGTCTACTTAGTTTACGTACTAAGCCAAAAAAGACTTATATTTTGAAATGAAGGGAGTAATAATTTCCTCAAATCATTCAAATTCCAATCAATTGAATCATTCAATTGCCCTTCAATGGGCAACACTAAAGGGAGACAACAATAAACGTGATCTTCTTTCTGATACCATTCACTTTAGCCCCGTTCCATGCTCCTCTTACAAAGAATGAGATGAATAGCATAAGCCTATGTCGATATTCTTTCATCCATTTTTGAAATTTTCAAAAGGGTTTTCTCCAAACTAAATAAATCAATAAATTCCCAAATGTCTTAGATCGCGAGTACTTTCAAAAGGGTTCGTTTAATGGCTTATAAAAGACCGATGTTGATATATCATACATATTGGCGAGCCAATCTTTTCGGTTGCTTGCGGATTTAAACACCAACGTAAATATTTTTTACATCAGTATTTTTTACAAAATTCTTTCTCAAAACTATTATTTGGGATTTGTTTTTAGTTTGGTTTGTTGTTGTTGCATAATCAACATTACAATCCACGTCTTAATGTTGTTCAATAGATATGATCTCTAAACATTGAAAATTTCCATTTTTCTCCTTGAGCGACAATGGAAGGAAATTAAGTTAACAACCACTTAGAACTCTTATTTTCAAGATCCCGAATTGAAAATTTTACAAAATGTGGATGATGGCGCGTGAGGATGATGATAGATGCGGATGATGAGGTGAAGAAGTGGAGAAAGAACGAGGGCTGGGTTATTTTTTATTTTTTTCCCTAAGGGAGTCGTAGAGTTTTCCTTGTTTTTTTGAAGATGATGATGGGGATGGATGTTTGTGTTTGTGGAAGACATGCCGAAGAAGAAAAGAGGGAGAAGGTAGATTGTATACCGTTTTATGATAGATGAAAAAGATGGTTATTTGTATGACCGAAAAGAAGATCGGCGGCAAGAGAAGAGTGGGGGAAGAGGGAGAAGACCGGCGGCGGTAGCGACGGCAAGGAACAAGAGGAAAGGAGAACCCAACAAAGAAAACGGGTGGCCAAGGGAAAGAGTCAGCGGCTGCTAGAGAAGGGAAGGCTAGAGCAGGAAGTTGACGGCGGAGAAGAACGGCTCAAGAAGAAGAAGGCGGCAGCGGCAAAGGAGAAATAATACGGCCGTCCGGAAGAAAAGAAAGGAGGAGAGTTTTCAAAAAAGAGGAAGAGAAGGTGAACGGCCAAGAAAGAAGATTTTTTTTTTTTGTAGGGAAGAGGTTTTTGTTTGATATTGTTGACGGTGGCGGCGTCGACGGGAAAGGAGAAAGAAGAGTCGGCGGCCAATGGAGTATATAATCAGATTTTTTTTTTTTTTTCGTTTTGTTTGTGCGTGGATAAGGATGTTGGTGATGGAGTGATGAGGGATGGTGAATGAACAGCAGCAGATGCAAGAAGAAAGGGCCGGGAAGGAGAAGAAAAGAAGGGAAGAGTGAGAGGATCATCGGCGGCGGCAACTAAAGGTGCGGCCGAACGAGAAGAAGAAGGAAAAGAAAATAGGTTTTGTAACCTAACTCGATAACAACTTAGAGAATGGAATGGCTTCAATTGAGCAATTGATCACTAGACTACTATATCACTTAAATTGCAGAACCTAAACTACTAGGATAACAACACATGAGATAATATCAAATATAAGATAATTCTAATTACCTAATGTCACAACTAACTAGATAATTATCACATGTGATAATTATCACATTGATAATCACTAATACAGTATTTTTATCATTCAATATCCTGCCTTCCCTGACTTTTGCTGCTTGCGTCTGTTGACTCCATTCCATCGAATAAACGAGAACCAGGTTGGCCCCCTCTGTTGATTCCATCTCTTAATAGTTTACATCGTGGTTTATGCCTTGTTTTTTTCCTGGGATAGAGATGATAATAAATTCTTAATTAATAATGTTGAACCCTGGATTCAGTTAGTTACTTTTGTTCCTAATTATTAGTTGCATAATTTGATAATAAAACTGTCCGAGGTTTGAAGAAATATCTCATCACCATGAAGTTAATCTGTATACTATTTGCTGGATATATTGATTGTGGTTTTTTTTTTCCCCTTATTTCTCTGAGTAACCTCGAGAAACGCAATATCTCGCAATCAAAGTAGATGGACTAAGTTTTGTCTTATTATTTCATAAGTATTGTTGCTTATGTCGAGATTTGAACCCGACCGTAGGGTTGTAGTCTCTTGAATTGTTATATCATCATTGATACTAGAAACAATATGTTCATTGATCTCCAATATTTGTCAATGGATCTAGAGAAAAAAAAGTTGTTGCCATGGAAGGCAAGGTTTCTTCAAGCCGGGGAAAACGAACAGCAGCAGAGGCGATGGAAGAAATCTTGAATGACGAAACACGAAAAAAACAATGTTTCGCAGAGCCATGTGAAGCTTCTCTTGATTCCTCTGAGATTGCAGACAAAATTAAGCGTTGTGAAACTATTCTTTCACTGTTTCCGCCTTTTGGTTCTGATTATGTGTGCTCGGTAGAAGAACTTGAGAAGATTGAAGATACTGTTCGTTTAATGTTTCCTTCTACTTCAAAAGAGAATGATGTGAGTAAGCATAAGCAGAATTTTAAAGTTTTCCCTGTAGATGAAGAAGAGATGTTGGCTACAATAAGAGCTAAGGTACTAGGTTTTCTTCTTCTTCTTCTTTTTTTTCCCTTATTTATTAATTTTTTTTGGTGGTGCATATATATCTGCCCTAATTAATTTTCTCTATATTTGTTTGTGTTTGGTCTAACCAGGAAATACATCTTGCGCATCAAGGAATGCTGAACCAATTAATTCTCTTCGAAAAGAACCTCAAACTTGGAGAGAAACTGAAACAAAATACATCGGAAGTTGCTGAATTGAAAGCGGAGGTTGCGCGGCTTGAGGTAGAGAAATGCGAAGTGGATATTTTGAAGGCTACTTTGGAGCAAAACCTGGTTTGCAAAGATCAACGGATTTCTGAGCTTGAAGCAGAAATTGTTCGTTTTGAGAACGGGAAGGGCGTAATTGATGCTAGCTTGAGGGCACCCCCGGCGCCGCGAATAAGAAGCATTGCTGCCTTTTTCTCCTCTTTTCGTCGGTCATGAACCGATATGTCGACCAATTCGTGTTTTCAGCGACATTTGTTTTTTTCAGGTTATTAGAACTTCGAAATCTACTGGTTGTTAGTGAAGGGGGGTGGCTGATAATATTAAGAATATTTTGGTTTTACACGTTGTTTTTTCCTTTTTTTTTCTTTAAGATGTCGTATTCGTTACCCTATCTCATGCTCAACCGTCCACTTTAACTGTTTCTTCTACTTTGTAATTACAATTTCATTTGTTCCTTCATCATGCGTGGTATGTAACTCTTCTGGCCTCATAAATCTCGCATATGGAAAAAAGAATGAAGAAAATGGTGAACTTCTCTTCTTTTTAAGACTTTGTTTTTGCAAGTAGTAATATGAGGACATTGCAAGGAGCTGGGAACGGCGGATAAATGAAATATTTTGTTCATATAGCGAGTTTGTCATAGTATAAAGGTCTGAGGTCATGGGGTTGGGGAGACACTGAATGGTAACTGAAAGTAACATTAAACACAAATAATTACATTTGCCCCAAAGCCCCTATCAGCTTAAAGTTTTATGTTCAAAGCATCGGCGGTAAATGTCTTTGTTGCAGTAATCTATGCTCTAGATAGATCTTCAGTCGTTTATTCATCTCCGTTTCTTATTCATATAATTTGTTAAATTGGGGTTCAAGACAACCAGTACTAATGGATTGAGGGCCAACACAAAATTCCTTTATAAATCCTTTAGTCCTTGGACTCAAACAATTTGTCCTCGAGGTATTTTCTCTACCGTTTTTAACCTGAAGAGTCAATATCCATCATCTTTAAGTGATAGACTATTATAAGTTCAAGACAAGATGCTATACGAACCTCGTAAGTATGTCTTAAGGTTACCAAGGAAATCGGATTCCCAATGGCCGGAGACAAAATATATAATGATGCCCAGGAAGTAATATCCAAAATAAAGGACTAGAGAAAGCTAGGTGCAATCGGAATGAGGAAAAGGTTGGTGTAGTATCGTAAACATCATCATGCACACACATCCTAATAGCTACTGGAAGGAGTATGTGCATCTAAAAGATTTCTAGATCTCGAATTCGTTCTAAACATACCAATTGGCCACAAACTAATTGAGTTTTTTACCCAAAAAATTATTTAAAAAAGACCCTGGACAAAAATAATATAGATGTAAATTAGGTGGACAATACTAGTTCTCTCGAATTTGCCAAATCCGAGAGTACCGTAAAGTCGGATTTCGCAAATCTGAGACCACCGAAACTTGGATTAGTGTAATCCGAGACTTTAGTAACCTAAAATTACTTAAATTAAATTGAAGAATTAACTTAAACTAATCAAGGTTCGGATTTCGCAAATTCAAGAGTCAGTAATAAAAAAATATTTATTTTTTAAAAAATTAATCTAAGTGTTCGAAAACAAAAGTTGACTAGAAACGGATTAGTGTAATCCGAAACATTAACATTTGGATTTCAGAAATCCGAAGGTTTATAATAAAAAACTTATTTTAAGTTTTGGAAAAAAAAACTAAGTATTGAAAATAAAAGAGAAGAGACTCAAATTTCGATAATCTGATTCCTATGTACTTACTCTCGGATTCGAAAAATTTGAGTTGTTTAGAAAATGGCAACTTTCGGATTTGTGTTCACCTGGGTACTGCCCATACCCACACAAGCCACATTAAACTAAACCCTAAACCCTAAAATCTAACGTTTTGAACTAAATCGGGTATTGAAAACCCAATTTTTAATCCAAGTTTAAACTAAAATCGGATTTGATAAATCCAAAACTAAACCCTAACCCTAAACCCTAAAAGTCAGATTTTAGAAATTCGAGTTTAAACTAAACTCGGATTTGCGGAATCCGAGTTTAAACAGATCTCGGATTCTTATAATCCGAGTTTAGGATAAACTCAGATTTGGGAAATCCGAAACTAAATCCTAAACAGTAAACCCTATAGCCTAATTTTTAAAATTCAATTTTTTGCTTAACTCGAATTTTGGAAATTCGATTATTTGCTTAAAAAGTACATAACACTATTACATATGAATTATACTGAATTAATAATAATATCTAATGGTTAACAGATTTAGCATTAATAAGTAACACTAGTACCAGTGATGTATCGTGAGTAATAGTATCAATGTACTACACAATACTACGTATAAATAGTACATAACACTAGTGCAAATAAATTATACTGAATTAATAATAATATCTAATAACTAATAGATATAACAGTAACAACTAACGTTAGTATCAGTGATGTATAGTAGGTAATAGTATTAATGTACTACATAATACTAGTACGTATAAAAAGTACATTACACTAGTACATATGAATTATACAGAATTAATGATAACATCTAATGACTAACAGATTTAACTGATGTATAGTGGGTAATAGTATTAATGTACTACATAATACTAGTACGTATAAAAAATATATAACACTGGTACATATGAATTATACTGAATTAATGATAATATCTAATGACTAACAGATTTAACAGTAATAAGTAACACTAGTACCAGTGTTGTATAGTGGGTAATAGTATTAATCTACTACATAATACTAGCACGTACAGATAGTACATAACACTACGTAACACTAGTAATATATATTTTTCATCAATTATACTGAAGTAATTTAACTCAAATTCCAATCAGGTTTAATAATACTACGTAACGTTAGTAATATATATTTTTCATCGATTTAATGTAAATTCATAATAATTATTAGTAATAGAAGATTTTATTAATATCATATCTAATACAATATTTTTTATTTTTTAAAATTTGATATGTCAATTTAAAGCGAATTCCTATCAAAACTCAAATTTTTCAAAGTTTTTTGCACTAAAAGTTTTTTTTTTAAATGTAGTTTGGATTTCCGAAATCCGATTTCACTGTTCATTTTTTCCCACCATAAATAAAATTTTAAATTTTCTCGCCCCTTAGTTTTTTTTTTTAAAAAAAGTATGTTGTGGAAGATCTCGGATTTTGGAAATCTGAGTTTACTGTATATATTTTGACCTTGTTTCTTTTTTTTTTTTAAATAACAAAAAAATAATATTTTATTATTTTTTATTGTTTCGGATTTGGTAAATCCGAAATTTTGATTAATTAGACCCTCGGATTTGTCAAATCCGAGACAACTACTTATGTCCACCAAAATTAAAGTAAAATTTTTTTTTGTCCACATCAATTCTTTTAAATTTTTTTGGCTGAACGAACCCAAACCAATTAATTGAGTACTCTTTTGTTGTTTAAATTGACGGCCAAAAATAAAATTTGATTATTTGATTAATTAGTTCTAGGAGATTTTATTTTTTAAAAATATATTTGCAAGGTGTCCACCGTCGAGAATAGTGAGTAAATTCTGAATGGCAGACGTTTCTATGAATAGGATAACTAGCCAAAAGATTAAGGTTAGTGCATCCCTATGACGAACTTTAAATAAATTAGGTTAAGGATTTGGTTTGTTTCATTCAATTATGGGGCTGAAACCAAAGGTATAAAAAAAAAAATATTTTGGAGTTCTTTCTTCTTCTTTTTTTTTTTATTCTTTTAGCAAACATTTAATGTTCTTGCTTATTCCTCGTGTCTCAAAATGATTGTTCAGTTTGGGATGTTACGACTAGTATAATTTGAGCTAAAATTAAAAATTAAAACTGAACAATAATTTAGGGAAGAAGAGAATACTTCCTCCGTCCCATATTTATTGTCCACTTTGCCCAAAAAATTTTGTCCCAAAATTATTGTCCAATTTGACTTTTTATGGATCAAGTTACACATTTGTCCTTAGTAAAAAACATTATCCATAAAATCTTAGTGGTTAAACAATTACTTATGTAGGGATATATCTGGTTGTTTAAGATAAAATATAGCTAAGTTTGACAAAAAATAAAATCTTTCATTTTAGTAAAACTTGACAATAATTAGGGGACGAAAGGAGTACTATAAATAACTTTCACCAACCAATTCAAAGAGAAGAAAAGGTTACTTGACAATGTTAGTATAGATTACATTGTTAAATAGCACCAAACAAAAATATTGAGAAAGTTTTGCAATGGGATCGAAACCAAGATGATAATAATCATATTGCAAAGGATGGATTATTTGATAACTGAACGCCAAATCATTGAGACGCACTTGTATCGCATCAAGGATTTCACTGTAAACAATTTCAAGATTTCCCAAATACAAAATCTTCAGGGAAAACTGATTCCGCAATTGATAATTCCTTATTTTCCAGATCCCTACCCAATTGCTGGTAACGTTACCACTCACTTCTGTTTTTGCCATTATTGATTCTCTCCGTCGCCATTGTTGTTGTCAATCACCAAATCTGGATGTTTCACCATCGACGGTGATTCCACAAATTTCGTGACCTCCTCAATCAAATCGAATTAAAGGAAGTTCGAAAAAAGAAGTTTTTTTTTTTTTTTTTCCCTTAAGTCGGTTGACCTCTGCTATAATAAATCTCTATAAATACGGACTTGCTGTCTCAGAATGAAGTTTTTTTTGTTCGAACTTCACACTTCTCTCTCTACCGATCAATTTCAACACAAACTTTCTCTCTCTGCAATTTAGATTCGATCGGCAGCTACCGATTCCGATAATCAGTGACCATGGATATCAACAGCGACAATCAGGAGGGGCAGACTAACGGCGGCGGCGGTGGCGCCCCATGTTGTCCTCCATCTCCAACTCCGACGACTTCAATTTCAATCTCTCGAAAGGTCACTCCAAGCCTCGAAATAAACCTTTATGTTTAATTAATTACTTTCTTCGATGGGTATTAATATGTATGGATTAATTCTTCCCGGTTGGTGTGAACTTTCAGTTCTTGTATTTTGATTGAGAATATTTATCAAAAAATTAATTAGGGTTTTGTTTAGGCTTACAGAAAAGGGGAAAATAAAAATTCAAAAGTTAACTTCTGATTTAATTATTACAGTTTTTATTGATAAATCCTCTGTTTGGGTTTTGGTATGTTAAAATTGTTTTGCAGGGACAAATGATTTCGACGTCTTCTTCGTCGAGTGAAGTGAGTGTGAATTCTGTGTTCACTGAGACGCATGATCTGAAAGTATTATCACGGAAGAAAAAGATGAAGGATATTGAGATGGTACAGATTTATGATCTCTGTTTTATGTGATTTCTCGTGATTTTTGTTCCTTTCTCATCAGTAAATCATGCTTTTATTTCTCTTTGTATCTGTTTTTGTGAACTCTGTTATATATCCTTGTAGGAAAAACTTGTGCAAAGAGTTGATGCTCTTGAAAAGGTGATGGTTTCTTTGTATGAAACAGCCGCGGAAATTGGTCATGCTACAGAAACATTGAAGAATTCTTTGACTCTGCTCCATCCAGAGTTGGCGATAGAGCTATCGAAATCTAATGCAAAGAGAGCAGATGATGATGATGATGATGATGGAGCTTATAATGAAATGTTAGCTCCACAGCTGAAATCAGCTGTCAAAGAAGAACCAGTGGAACTTGGAAACATTATTACTGCTTCAACAAAACTAACAACCTTAAAGTCCTGCCTCTGAAAAAGGAAGATTAACCTTAATGATGGTGAGGATCCAAAAACTGCTGTGAACAATGTACCTCGCAAGAAGGTGAAATTTGAAAATGAAGGGAAGCCCGTCAAGATTTTTGAGATTCCTGGAAAGAATATTTCTGCGATGACAGAATTCGCGATGCAGCAGCAACCATCTCCAAGCTCTGCTGCTTCTTCCAGGCCTTCAAGGTCTCTTGCTCCTTTCACTGAAGAAGAAATAAGAGGTGTTCTAATGCAGAATGAGCCCGTCACTGTAATGGGAGTTGTCACAAGATTTAAGCCTAAGCTCAAGAAAATGGAGAACAGGGATGCTCTTGCAGCTATATGTCAGAGTATTTGCGTGATACGAAAGAAGGTACCTATTGGGAATAACTATATTGCTCTCACGAATAATGTTTCAGTATAAGCTTGAGTTGCAGGAGATAGAGACTTTAGAAAGGATATTATTATGGGATGGATGAGATCGGTATATATCTGAAAATAATACTCCTACAACTACATACATTTTGTTGAATGGAAATAATCTCACAAACAAAATTATTTTTCTGAAATGGAACGAGATTTTTTTTTTTTGTTTTTTTGTTTTTTTGTTTTCAGTAACTAGCTAGGTTGTCTAGACGAATTTTCAACTCCCAAACTTGGTGGTCATAACGATCCATCATTCTCACCCACCCAACTATTCCTCTCCACTCTTTAGATATCCATTTGGTGTTGTTATTAGTCTCATTGTGTTTAGCTTAATTGCTCTGTTTGGAGAACTGCCATTGTAGATAAGATTTATAATTTACATAAGCACTTGTGTATTCACCTCTTCCACGGCCTTGTCCTTGTGTTTCTTTTCTTCATCCTTTTCCCATTTTTTAACCTTGCTGAATTATACTTCGTCTGGCCCAACTTATTTGTACTGTTTCGATTTTCACTTTTAAGTACACTTTAAATTAAAGAAGAATATTCAAATTGAACAGTTATTTTGGGACGAAGAGTGTTTTGAAAAAAGAAACAGAAGATCCAAGGTTCCAGGTTAAATCTAGATCTAACATACTTGCCTTATAAGTTCATCTCTCTGGTATCGGATTTTGAAGTGTCTAACTCTGTCTTACTAATAATTTCTCCAACTGTTATTAAGATTGAGTTCTCCATTGTTAAAAAACTTGTTACGTAGTTCAAAACAATTGTATACGTTTGAGTTTTGGTTAAGGAAGTCTCATTTATTTTTATTGAAAACAGACGTACTGACATGTGACAACAACCATGTTATGCCAGCTATACGTAAGAAAAAGGCAATTTATATGGTGAACCTGTGTACTATATATGGTACACTTGTTCAATTAATATAATCTAATTATGGAATGAAAAATTAAGAAAAATTTATTAAATCAATTCATTCTCTTTCATTATGTAATTTCTCATACCAAGCTTTCAAATATAAAAGAAACAATATTCTAATAATTTTGTAACTCTTTCTTCTATTTATAATTATTGACTCTTTCCTCTATTCATAAGTACTGACGTAGTTTGAAAATTAGGAACAATTTAGATTTAATAAAAAATATGAAATTTTGATATATATATATATATGTTATGAAAAATATTACTATAACTCATGAATTTTTCATAGAATGAGTATGAACTATAAATATAAGGATTTATGTTCTTTGTATGAAAATTCACATAATTCTCATGAACATTATTTTTATAGGGGTGTGAATATAGACGGTTTATTTGCATTAGTCTTTCAATTCTCTAAAAAAAAATTGTGAAATTTGGATACACATGATATGATATGAAAAGTATCACTGTTATTCATGAATATTTCATGAAAAGAGTATGAACATTTATTGTACATATGATTAATCTTTTGAAATTTCTCTAATTTGTATGAACATTTAGCATAATCTTCATGTATAGTCATAGTTGTATGTATGAATAGAAGACTAAAAATATGGCAACCTTTAATTTATAATTATGTGTACAATTTTTTATTAAAAGATATGAATTTTTTATATATTTGATATGAAAAATATGTTTATCATTCATGAATTTTACATTGTATGATTATAAACCTTCAGTTTTTTTTTGTTTTTTTTTTGTATGGATAGAAGTATATTAATAAATATTCTTTCTTTTTGAATTTTTTTCTAATCACATAATTGGTTTGAATATATGATATATGATGTTAAATATGGAAAGAGGATTGACTAATTTAATACTAGTAAAATTTTAGTTAATAATTTATTCCTTAAATAGTTTCCATTAATTAGACTGGTACACCATATATAGTGAACCATGTTCACGATATAAGAACTCTTTAGTTTCCTTCAAATCATTAATTAAAAGTTGCAACATTAATTCATAGCCGTTCCGATTTAAATTTATAGGGAAATATATGTTTACTCCCAAGATTTGTGAAAATCTAGGAGATTAGTCATAAACTATTGAGGTGTTAGGTGATAGTCCCAAAGTTTAAAAATTGTTTTGGTTTTAATCGCCAAAGTGTCGTTAAAATAGATTGTTCTTCAAATCATTAATTATTTGTCGTTAAAATTGTTTTGGGTGATAGTCCTTCAAATCATTAATTATTTTCGTTCTAGTCCCAAAGTGTCGCTAAAATAGATTGTTTTGTCGCCAACATTTTTTATTTAACGACACTTTGAACTAGACCAAACACTTTTTCAAATATTGAAACTAAAATCAGTGGCGGATCTAGAACGAAAATATAATGGGGGCCAAAATACATTGTGAGAAATATTGGTCGTTTATTTTGTTCGTGCACCATGATTATATAGTTTTATATGTATAGATATCTCGATATCATTTTTTTTAATATAGATTATCTCATTGTATTATAGTAACCAAATTATTCAAGAATTTTTTAATTCAATTTTGTAACGACTTTCACCCTTTTCGAAAATTGTTAGAGAAGATTCTTTCTAGAATGGTTATATTTATATAAACCTTCAATTTAAAAAAAACAAAAAAAAAAACAAAAACAAAAACCACAACTCCTTTTTGGGTAATATATGTACAAAATTTGACTAGTCGAATGAATTGGGTTTAGCATCATTAGTTTGATTATAATTAGAAACTCATTCAATTTTTTAAACTTGATTTTAAAAGAATTTATTAATGAATTGAAACAAACTAATTCCAATTTGATGGACTATTTTAATTGGCCCAAAGCAAAATTGTTAGAGATAAACAAATTTAGCCCTAATTATTACACAACATATTTGTAATTTAAGTGATAAAAATTGAATCATTACTAAATTTAAATAAATATATAATAATGATTCAGGGTGGGGTCAGTTGGGGCCATGGCCTCGTGTGGCCCCCACCCTGAATTCGCCACTGACTAAAATCCAACACCTCAATAGTTTGGGACTAATCTTTTTGGATTTTCCCAAACCTTGGGACTATAAATATAGGTTTTTACTTTTTTGATATATACCTACAGAGTCTTGAAAGTAGCAGTTTAATTTAAGAGGATTATTTTCAAGGCTATTTTTCCTTATATTAAATGCTTAGTTGAACTGGAGATAAATTGACATGGCCCAAATTTAATTCAATATTTTCTATGATGAGCCATCAAAACTAAGTATTATCTCTATTTCAAAAAATTAGTCCATGAATTTTAAAATTTATACCAAGTATTACTTACTTTCCTATCCAAAAAAGAAAGTCCACCTTTGGTTTCGAGAATTGTACCAATATTTAAACAAATTTCAAAACTCTAATTAGCTTCTTTTTTTTTTTTGAAACAGAGAGGGTAACTAGTTAGTGGATTTTTTTTTTTTTTCGGGTACACAAGTATTAGTTTGTTTATTGCTCCTTCCAATGAAAAACAGAAAAGAGAAAAAAAAAAAAAACAGAAAACAAAAAACAAAGTCCGTCTCCTTGTTTTGCCAGTATTTTAGTTTTGGGAAAATTTACTAGAGGGGCAGTGGAAATGGTTAAATTACTAAAAGGAGTAGGATATCGAAATAATTTTAACGGTAGTAATTTATTTGACAAAAAATATAAAATCAAATTAATTATGTATTGACACTGTTACCCTTAATGTTTACTCCTATATACTAACAAAAATTTAAATTCTCCACCACTGGATAAGATTTTTTTTTGCATTATCAAATAAATTAATAAATCCTATAATTCCTATGTTGTTTTTGTTTGTTCCTCTTTGACAATCTTCAAGTCCATTATTCGAAAGGTATATACAACCTTCGAAGAACTTGAAACCAAAAGGTATACATTTATGTTTTTTCTATCATAAATACAATTTTTTTTTGTGTGTTTTAATTCTATTCATTCAAAAACAAAACGAAGAAAAAAGCTGTTTGAAATAGTTTTAGAAGCGGCCATTTTTTGAAAAGTTTCTCTGGATGAAGCTGAATCCATGATTGACTCCCCTATTCTTGGTTCGATCCAGACCCCTTTTTTTGTATATACAAAATTGAGCATTTTGAAATGGAATTCTGTGGTTAAACAATTACTTATGTAGGGTATATCCGGTTGTTTAAGGGAAAATATAGTTAAGTTTGACAAAAAATAAAATATTTCATTTTAGTAAAACTGTACAATAATTATGGGACGGAGGGAGTATATAACTTCAATCACAAAATATTGACAATCTATTAACTTCTATTACAAAAGTTGGTGATTCTTACATGGATACCAAGTCTGTCCAAAAACTCAAGTTCATTTTTCTTCCATTTCTTACACTTATTTCCTGTACTCCATTGGATCTCTGCTTGGAAAGGATCATTTCCATCCTTCGTTTTGCTTCCATTTCAATACCTCCAAACCGTCTGCCATTTCGCTCTAACCACACCTGGTGTATAATAGCATTAATAGCACTAATCCTCCAGATTCTCATTATTCTTCAACTGCTAAGCATCCTAATCACACAAGTCATATTTACATTCAAAGAATATGTGATCACAACATTTCTCCTTCTCTTTGCACAATATACACATCTTATCATCAACTGATATATTCATCTTACTCAGCCTGTCAGTTCTGAGCAATTTTTTCTTCCAACCCAACCAACTAACAAAACTATGCTTTGAAATGCTTTATTGACTCCATATAATTCTTTCCTCCTTATCTTCTTGTGTTCACCCCTCATCCAGTAGTACCCATTTTGAGTACTATACTTCTTTCTTGCATTACCAATCCATTCATCATTCTGCACACCATCCTGTAGTCTTGTTCTAATCTTCATCAACTTCTTCAGATACTAGCTGCAGTCATTTGGAATCTTATAATTCGATAAGGTTCTTCCTTTTAAGTAGTTGACATGCATCCATTTGATCTACATACTTTCCTTTTTTTTGTGCCAAATCCCACAATTGTTTCCCCAACAAGGCCTGATTCCAAGTTCCTGGTTCCTTTATATTCAATCCCCCT